ACATCCACCTCTGCAAAAGACCACATGAATAAATATTTACTGGGACTGCAGCACTTCGTCTTTGAAGGCTTAGCTCTGTGATGTTTTTCGTTTGGCTTCTTCAAGTACTCCTCCTTTTTATGATCCAAATCAACGCGCTATGAAAATTGAAGTCATTTATATGCAAACAGTTGATTCCCTCATATTATAAAGCAGAAACATATTTCAAGATTAGAAAGCTTAAATAATAGAAGGAGGAGGAGATTACAATATAAAGCCACAACTTAACTTAAATTTATCTCAGGAAATTAAAGACTCACCGACATGCTGAGATCCTTGTTTGAAAATCTGAGAACGGGACGTAAAATGAATTTAGACTGCAAGATGAAAGCATACACACAAAATAAAATGAGACGTATGACTCATAACAGATAGTTTTGGAGACTTTCAGATCAGATCAAAAGTTATCAAGACCCACACCATTTCTTTGTTAGCCTTCCCTCATCACTCCTTTCTTCTGTGTTATCACTGTCACTGTCAGTACATGTAAGTTGTGATGCTGGAATGTAAGATGTAACGTGAAGAGAATGATTTCACTGACCTTTCAAGGACATTAGTTTAACACTTTTTTACCAGGAATTATGTCATTCAAAAGTTTGCGTCCATGCGTGAAAGGATATCTTTTAAACACACCTTGTTACCCAAGGCTTGGATCACAAGGCCTCTACAGCATAGATAATTAGCAATGAATATTGGAGATAGTTAATGTGATAGATACCTCATTCTTACTAATTTTCGCGAGTATTAAATTTTACGAATTTTCCGATTTTATGAACTTAATTTAATACGCGCATACAAAGATCCCGCGAAATTTAATACCATTTTTGAAAAACAAAAACAAGAAGAATTTTAAAGATGTTCTGAGTCCCGGTGTTTTTTGAAAACGTCTTTCCAGTCGTAATTTCATTTAGCCTCTCCTTCTGATTGACTGCTCTCTTCTGTTTGTAATACAGCCAAAACCTCTTTAGTGCAGTGATCGAAGTTTCCATTTACATTCTCCTTGTAGTGAGAATAAACCAGGCCTTTGTACGTTTCCAGTACGTGTGTCCTTGGTATTTGAAAAAATGATCCATTTTCTTTCTGGTGGACTTCTGTTTTTGTAGTGTGCACATTTACTGAACATCTCAAGTTGCGTTTTAAGCGCTGAACTGTAGAACATACATTGCATACACAGCAAGCAGTTACGTTTTGACTTGTTCATAAGGTTTTATGTAGGGAAGTCGTAAGTTACTTGCTTTGAAATACTCCTTTTTTTCTATTTAGTCGTGACAAGTGCCCTCTGCTCAGATTTACGCAAATAAAACGACAGTCACGAAATTTAGTAAGCTTTCTTTCGCGTCTTTAACGATAATGGCTGGACACGTGATTAACCTGAACTTGTTTGTAAGCGCCAGGCACCACCACCATGTGGGGGATTGGAACTAGTGGAATAAAGGAGTTTTTGTGAGTACATGGAACGGTCTGTAGTGTTTTTGATGTGGGAATAGGATTGCTTGTGCCTAAGAATATCCATAGTGGTCCTTCGAGCGCCAGATACAGGAGAATTAGAACATGCATTTTGGAATGCCACCCACTGTATCACCTACCAGCTACCACCTCCTACCACTACCACTTGAAGGGCAAAACGAACCTGTTCCTGGAGTTCCAATGCGTGGTTTCTTTCGGTAGGTCTTTTGAGATCAGCAACAAGCATGTCGGTAATAAACTGAATTGAGTCACGCAAAAATCTGTAGCGTGACTTGACCTCGGCTTCAGAGAGTCCATTGAGGAAGTTGTCATTGAGGTTAACATTTCTGTTATGCTTAGTATACATAGGACGAACACCGCGAAAAAGCAAATCAACCACCATGTTGTTTTGCTGATTTTGCAACACGTCATTTTAACCAATGGTTAACAAGTTAACACTTGTAGCGAGGTACGTTAATTTTGATGTACAGTTAAAAGAAATTTAACCCACCGTTAACACTAACCGGCGTTTGAGCCACTGGATTTAACCCATGGTTAATTTTTAACCATTGGTTAGGGTGTTTAACTAATGGTTAAGAGTTAACCATCTTGAGTAACTGGGGCCTGGATGCTTGTTTGGGAAACAAGCTAAAGCTTGAAGGCCACTGTTGTTGGGGATAACAGTTTTATAATGATTTTATGTCCATGGTGTCGAGGAAGCATTCACCAGTCGTTGTGTTGTAAAAATGGAAATCACTGAATATCGTAAGGTCATGGTCGGTGTCCTTCACATGGGCGCTAAGATTGCACACTAGGGGACCCATAATCTGATCTAAGTAGGAAGCTATACTTTCGGTGGGACAACAACATGCCGAAACAATTGGTCTGCCAGTGTTGCCTGCTTTGTGGATCTTGGGCAGCAGGTAGAATCATGAGGTGTAGGGGCAATTAACCCTTTAGCTGACCATGGAAGCTTGTTGTCTCTAATCATTTCAGTTATTGTTGTTTTAACCACGTTCTGATTTTCCTTAAGAGGATCATAGTCTAAGCGTTCATAATACCTACCATTGGACAGTTGACAATTTGCTTTGGTAATGTATAGAGGGCGTGACCATACCATGACAGCACCACCCTTATCAGCCGCTTTGATGACAATGTCTCTGCGTTTTGAAAGTCGTGTTAAGGCTTCCTTTTCGGCAGTTGACAGGTTGTTGTACTGAGCTCTGGCCTTAAAATCCACCACATTCACCGAACGGCGGCAACGGTCGATGTAATGATTGAGAGCAGAAAACTGACCATCCGGTGGTGTCCATGTCGACTCTTTACAGTTAAACATCTTGACAGGGTCAGTGTTGTTGTCTGCAGGCTGGGTGTTACTTTCCCGGTCCTTGATAGATTTAAGCCAATGATATTGTCTAGACTTTAATTCAGGGATGTCGCGTTGAATACGATAAAAGTCATCCGCAGAGCAAAAATGTGATAGTGTGTCACAATGATGGGAAATACTACTGGGATAGCTTCCTCAACCTTACGAGAGTACCAGTGAGGGTCTTGGTCAATAAACTTAACTTCCTCCTGGAGTGGATAATGCCCGTAGAGTTAAGGAAGCTGTCCACATAAGACTTCACCCTAACAATATCAACAGGGACAGTGGAATTGAGATTCCTGAAGTTTGGATGCCTACAATCAGTCATGACAACCAACCTCTACCACAGCGGACCGCCAAGGGATCAGTTTCTTCCTCTCACAATGCCAACAATGCTTTGGATCGAAACCCACCAACCATGAGCAAGGTTTGTAATACACCAATCACTAACAACCACGGTAGTACAAATAGTTTGACCCAGTAAATCAACACTATCACCTGATGAAGACCTGCAGTGTCCGGTTGAAACGTCGCGATCAATATCAAAGTGACAATCGTGAGACAAACGATAAAACTAAACCTTTTATGAAATATCCTTATAAATGTATCATACCATTGTGCTCATCTTCAGCCTGTGTTTGAAGCAGACTTGAAAAAGGTGTACCATGATCAATGTTGTCTGCAAAAGAACTATTGACAGCGAGAATATCAAAGCATGGTAAAATTCATATGATTGAGGGAATTAATCCTTATTGGTGGTTTTCAGCTGATGTCACACATTTATGCAAATTAGGCACCCGCCATGTTGGAGCCCATGTAAGAGCTCATATTTTATGCAAATGTAAGCCATTTCTATTTAGGACGAAGCGTTCACGTGCAATTAATTTAACTTTTAATGGATAATTTCAAAGGCGAGAATCCAGAATCTCCAGAGGATATTCTGCAAAAGATACCGGTGCTTTCAAGCTATGCCAAGGGCCTAGAAAACCACATAAAAGAACGATATTTGAAGAAGATTTCTGTGGTGGAAGTAGATCCGGCGGCTTTACCGAGCGAGCAGTTGAGTCCAGAATGCTTGCCTCCTATAGAAGTCTCCGACTTGCTCTCGTATTTAGTTCTAGAGACAAGCCATTACACGAATAAGCAATTTAAGGCTTTCAAAAGTCTTCAGGCATATAATCAAATGGTTTCTGGCTTTGTCGCGTCAGTTAATGGAAAGGAAATCGCGGACAAGTATGTTGTAGTGGCTAAAGTGCGGCATTCCCAGAGCATGAGAGATCCTCTAGTGAATATTTGGATCATCACAGAGAAAGATGGAACCATTATCTCGGCGCATTGTTTAGATTGCAAAGCAGGCCTAGGTGAAACCTGCTCCCATGTAGCGAGTGCTCTGTTTTACATCGAAGCCATAACACGGATCCAAGGAAAGCTCGCCTGTACTCAAGTGAAATGCACGTGGGTTTTACCGGCGTATGTGAACGCAGTACCATACGAGAGCAAAGGATATCACCTGCCTTGTTTAAATTTGAAAAGAATGCCCAACAACCACAGAACAACTTGGAAATGTTCTGCATGCAAAAAAGCTATTCCTGTTCCAGCTACCACTTGTTCTTCTTCCTCCGGTTCCGATAGTAGTGATGAGGACATTGACGTTGTTATCACCAAAGTTTGTGAGGGTGAAACTGATAAGACTGCTGCCTTTGCAAAGATGACAGACTCCCATTTTGATTTAATTACTAGTCCTACTGGATGGCTAGACTGTGACATTATTCAGCAAGCTCAAGTTTTACTACAGCTTGAGAATGCAGCAATTGATGGCTTTCAGCGACCTACACTTGGTCGAGTTAGAAATTTTGACGTTGTCAGTAGTGAATTTGTGCAAATTCTACATACTGGTAACAGCCACTGGGTGTGTATCAGCTCAGTTGGATGTCTGCCAGGACATGTTAACCTCTATGACAGCCTTTATGACTCTGTTTTAAGCCAGGAAATAGAGGAACAGGCAAATGATTTGCTAGGTGGGAGATTGGAAGCTCTCAATCCTATGCCAGTGCAGCAACAAAGAAATGGCAGTGACTGTGGGGTTTTTGCAATTGCATTTTCTACCTGCCTAGTATTTGGAGAAGATCCAACATTTGTAAATTTTGATATGTTGAAAATGAGGCCTCATTTAACTGCATGTCTTAGAAATGGAAGAATGAGCTTGTTTCCTTCATTTTAAATGCAGGGGCTCTCAGATACTTTTCAGACAGTTCAAAGAGAAAAAAAAACAGAAAACTGTATCAGACATGTAGATTTGCTTTACAAAATAACATTTTATTGTCTCGAGTAACACTTAAACATGACAAAGAGTAAAGCCGTCAAAATCAGATGTGTAAACCACATCGCTAGACAAGATGGATATATATTAATAACTTCACAGGACTTCAGGCTTCAGGATTAATCATCGATCGTTTATTAAGACAGTGCTGTTTCGTATGGTCAATGCTCCTCAATTGAATGAATTGAGCGCTCTGCAAAATACATTCTACCCAGAATACGAGTATTTATATATACACATATCTTTCATAGAGCGCTCAATTCATTTTATTGAAGAGCATTGACCATACAAAACAGCACTGTCGCAATAAATGAGCGATCAATATCAATTTAGATGCATATTCCTAATAACTACATTAAATTACTTGTACTCATTGGCTTGGTCGACAGTGTAAGCATAGTTTTTCTTTGATTGGACTAGTGTTGATCAAACTTTCCGACAGCCTTAGAGGAGGGTGGCTTGGGAGCAGCAGTCTAAGGCAATCTTTAATTACAAAAAAAAAAAGCTTGTGTCTTTTGATGAAAGAGGACAACACAAATGAAGGGGCTAGTAAACAGTATCACTATGGTCCAACAAGAAGCACTATATTGCTTAAAATAAATGAATAGTATGAACACTTGTATGTTATTGTAATTACTGTTTTCCAGTTCATATGTATGCACCTAGTAACAAAACCTGTTTGGGTGCTGGCCCTGCAATATTTTTACAGGAAACTTTAACAAATTATGTCTTGTGAAACAATTAGGTAGACAAAAAGAGGTGCTAAGAGGAATAAAACAATAGGAATGTAGTACTCATTGCTTAACCTCAACATTGATTCCTTTTGTTGTTTTTTTCCAAGAAACCCAGTAGCCAAGTATGAATGTTGTTATATAGAAATAAAGTGATCTTTCCACATGGCAAAGCTTGAAATAAGTTAAATATTCAAGCACTCACACAAGGCTAAGATTTAAATAGATTTGAGTTAGATTTGAATTTTATAGATAAAAAATGATCCACCCCTAAAATGATGTTCTTGTCTCTGAAAACAGCATAGCTGTATGCATGTTAGTTCACAGTTCATTAAATCTGCAATCTTAACCTGCCCCGTTCAAAGCAGGATAACAACATCTTGCTCCACAATAAACACAAAACAGACATAAGACACATTGTTAGGTAGAAAAAATCCCTGTTACCTTTACAACGAGCTGGGTTTCCACATCATTATTATATCAGTAGCAATTTCCCCATCAAAGAAAATATCAGTGCTTCAACCATGGAAGGGGACTGGATTAATTTTAATATGTGGCCATATCATCCAATGGGTTGGGCCACAAATTAAACCAAGCTTCCATTGGAGGGGGGAGGTGATTGTGAATACATTCTAGGACAGATACAAAAATACATGTATATGACATCAAATTCAATCAAATGGAACAATTGGAGGACAAAAGTTAACAAGAGCAGCACAAACTCTTATCATGTGATCCACTAATGGAATACGACGGTCAGAGTTTTCATGATTACAAATCAGAAAGTCAGTTGGCAGAGTTCCTTCCAAAATGGTATACTTTCGTCTTAGTAGTCCAATAACACGTTCCACGTGGATTCTAACGTTGGCTATGCCTCTTGTCTCCTCTACATCCACTGGGTCTAGCTGAGCCTTTCCCCTGTGAAAGCTGGGATTACAAGCTTTGCTTGCCTAAATCCAACAGATTCAGTGATGGTGAATCCTCTATCTGCCATAACCATGTCCCCTGGGATAAGCTTTTCCAGAAAACCACAGTTCTCAGTTAAAAACTTATCTGAGACACGACCTCCCCAGCCTTCTGAAACAAAAGAGATAGTTCCCTGTGGAGTTATCCCTACTAGAACCTTGATGGTATTGTGATGTTTGTAACTTGAGAAAGTCTGTGCCCTGGCCAGCAAGTTGGAAGGCTTTTCAATGAATACCTCAAAGCAATCAATGATCACGGTGGTTTTCTTCCCAAATGCATACTGAAAGCACTTGGGCATGGTCTTCCAAAGTTGGTCTCTGTTTGGCCAGTAAACAAAGCGAAATAATCTCGAATCCATCACCACAATCCAATGATAAAATACTCTTGAAATGGTGGACACTGACACAGAAAATCGGTAGGCAAGATCCTGTAGCGGTGCATTTAATCTTAGTTTCATGAGTACAATCATAAACTCTTGAAATCGATCCAGCGACTGTGTTTGTCGAGTTACATATGGGGACACATGATCGAAGACAACCATCAGCACTTCCATTGAAGGGAGGCCAGTGTAAAACGGACTTTATCATCCGAATCAAAGAAATCTTTACCTGGTGCTTGGTACTTGTTTTTCTGAAACATATACTCAAACTCCGCGGTTTGGCACCATCCCTCCTTTGTGTCAGGGTTAATTTGGCATTCGGCGTCCTTTACACCTACTTCCGGTGCGATTTCTTCTCCTTCGCAAAGCTCTTCGGTTTGAGTCACAGAAAATGTTTCATCGCTAGATCCTTCGGTCCCTTCATTTTGAATTTCCTTGGTCGAAGTGCTTGGCTCGCCAAAGTCAATCTCAGCAACAGGAAGGCTGCTTTCATTAAGCTTTTGACGCTTGTCTGCCACTTCGCGTTCTTGGCGGGCGATTGCAAGTTGTTCTCGCTTCTTTGCCCTCTCGGTCCTCTGTGCATTGGCTTTAACATCGACTTCAGGGCCATATTTCTTCTTTCCGAGATTTAGAGTCGGTATCCAATCGTCATGGTACCTATTCCAATAAGGAGCTGGCTTTCCACTGACAAAATGTTTGCCACACACACGTTCGCTTTCAAGAACTTGCTTTTCCTCCGTATCGCTGCGACTAATCGCTTTGATCCACTCTTTTCTCCTCTCTGCAGTTAGCTTTTCCTCAAATTCTCCTTTATTAGTAACGACTGCTGGTATACGATAAAATCCCACTCCTTGATCTCGACCAGTTCTATTCCCACAGCCAGGAATAACGCAGAGAACCATCTCAACATTCGACTACGATCTCACATCGAAGGGCATTTGTTTACATTTGGATGGGCTCCAACATGGCGGATAGCAACCGTCGTCATGATAGAGGTCACGTGAGTGAAAACCAAGAATACTGGGTGAAGGGAGAAAACCCATCAAAAGGGGGCTCTACCCTGGTACACTTTCATAGAAATAGCGTTTAATTTGTTGCAATTTAAGTACATATTATGTTGGGGGATTTCATAAGTTACCATGTGATGGAAGTTCTGTCAAGTTATTGCTACTTCCTATTGTAATTAGATGTGTAAATTTCATATCAGTAAGAGTTCATACGTCATCTCATTAATAGTCTGTCACGGAGGAAAAATGAAAGTTAACCAATCTTCTTACCACTCTCCGCAAAAGGGTGTTATCTGCCTCAAATACATCCCCGGAGGAAACTTGGAGTGCAGCACTAACAGTGTGATCAGGTACACCTGGAAAAGTAGTTGAGGCTCTTTCATTTTCTCTGCAAGACAAAATATGAGAAAAAAATTGGACATAAAAAAAATACAGCAGTTGCCATGCAAATGCAAATGCCAATACTTTGCCCTTCAATTCAAAAGCCAATAAGGGTTCCTTGTTAGCCAGCTTATCATTCAGTTGAATAGATGGAAAGACAAAACTCAACATCACTCCACCTTTTTCCTAGAAAATTTGGATGCAGCAGAGACTCCACGTATGCTTTCCAAGCAAACAAAAGCAAATCAAGGCAAACCACCTTGCAAATGAACAACTGAACATAATATATAGATTTAGCCACAGCTAAAAGCGAAGCTCCCATTGATAAATTTATAACTTAAATCAAACAATAATTTTGTATTCCACAAATCAGTTAACTTAAGGGCACATTCATGTGCATTTGAGGGAAAAGCTAAGTGATTTTTGAGTGAAACAAATCTTGTATCGAGTTGATATAGCCCTATACAGGGACCGCACAGAGGGAGGGGCTGAAGCCCCCCCCCCCCTCCACTTTTTTGCAAGAATAAAATGAATTAAACAAAAAATAATTTAACAAAAGTAACGGAGTGAAAAATAGCAAAAAATCGTTAATTCGAAAATGACCAGAGTTACTGGCAAAGACAAACGCGCAGATAAATAGACAGAATGAAGCATTAGTCGTTACAATTGTAAAATATTTTTCTGCGTCTAACCTAGCAGAGGTAAACGTCTTTTAAATGGCTTCTTTTTCCTGCGGACCTCTCGGGAAAACGCGTTGTTTCGTAATTGGTCAATTTCGATCCAAAGTAATAACTGGGTTTAGTTTATAAGGTGATTCTCAAACAAATTGTGTATTAGTTTCAACCTTGATTTTTGGAAGATCATGAAGTTATTGTTTCTCTTGTTATTGTGCGTCCTGATTTTAGCTCGATCAGCGCGAACTCCGTCTTTTGATGTCAGGCTTCACGGCTCGTTGAGCATTCCAATTGCAAGTTTTGTTGAATGCGGTCTGTTTATAAAAACATTTTGTCATTGAAAGTACTTAAACCGCAGAATTGTGTATAGCTCTGGTCATCAAGGAACATTCAATCTGGCGGTTATTACGAACAAAGAAGTGCACATGGTACATGGCAACATAAATACGAACGACCAGACTTCACATACCACTAGTAATGCAAAGAAGAGATCTCTTAAAATTTCTGATTACTTTTCCAAACAAAATGGAAAACCTTTATCTGGTGAGTAAACTCTGCATAATTTTTGCTACTTTTTTCTGAATCTGTTCTATAATTGAATTTTCATTCACTAAATTATTTTCAGTTACCGTTTTGTTTTGCCGTGTAAGTATTTTGAATCAATAATTAAACAATTATTGAACTCGGCTTT